TTCCACATGATAGACAACAAAGAACGACTGAAAAGGTATATAAATGGTTATACTATAAAACTTATGTCATGGGTATTATATATATATTAATTCACAAACGGGTTCGTGAACAGGAATTTTTAGTAAATTAGAATTTTGCCACATGATTACTCCTTTTTACATATCTGCCACATTAATTTTTGCTTTACACGGTTCTAACCCCTGTTCTTTAACTGATTTATATATTAATTCACAAACGGGTTGGTGAACAGGAACTTTTAGTAAATTAGAATTTTGCCACATGATTACTCCTTTTTACATATCTGCCACATTAATTTTTGCTTTACACGGTTCTAACCCCTGTTCTTTAACTGATTTAACACATTGGACACACCCACCGCCTTTATCTTTCCTTCTTTATTTGTTTTTCCCACGTAAGGTCAAACGTTCCTTCACCATTCGTCAAACCTTCCTGCTGCTTCTCAACTCTTCTTCCTTTTTCTGTCGATCAGTTCTTCAGGTTTGTTTCTGTTCTTCGTTGTGTATTGTGTGTTTTTCGTTTCCTCTTTGCATCATGGCTCTTCCTTCCACTTCCCGTTTGGAATTCCGACAAGGGGTTTCGTCGTCGGCTTGCAGGTGACGACGACGTCGAGTTGACAGCAGAGAAAGACTGGGCATTCATGATGCAGAAAAAAGAACAACAGCTTCTTCTTCTATGATGACATCTGCAGCAGATTCAATGGCCTCGAGGAGCGTGGAAAATACTTAATAAAGCACCTTAGCAAGACATGACTATGAATCCATTGCATCATAATAAATTATTATTTTTTCTCCGACTTTTGAATTGTCGAAGCAAGAACTTTATGCGAGAGTCGAAGCACCAAAGGGAGAATTGGGAATTTTTCTGATAGGAGATAAGGGTGTTTTTCCTTGGCGCTATAAAATTCGCCCACCGGGGTTTATTAATTTGCAAATTCTTCCTCAGTTAGTTAAAAGAATGAAATTGGATGATATTATGACGATACTAGGTACTATAGATATCATTATGGGAGAAGTTGATCGTTAAAATGATAATTGATACTCTCACTCATTGCTTACATTCGAGAAGTAGCAGATCTTATTGAAGCAGCTCAGACGAAATTAGAAGAAGCTTCGCATTTTAACCTAATTAATCAAATGCGAACCACAAAATTTTCATTCCAGATGCGAACACAGTTTAGTTCTTGAACTCTAAACTTGCGAAATCAAAAATTCATATGTTGAACCCATATGCGAATATTAACCCAATTGACTTCAAATTGATTCACAGATGCAAACACTCGATTGTTTTACTTTCACAAAATGAGCATCAACAACTCCACAATCGAGTTTTTAAATTCTTGCAAACAACAATTTCACAGTCCTTGACTTCGCGTTTTTCTTCACAAATCATCCCTCAATCATCAATCCAATTGCGAATCAAAACTCATATGTTCTTGCTTTATCGATTCATCGACTACACTCATACAAATGCGAACAATACTCAATTTCAAAATCGATTGAAACTACTGGTCCCAAAAAACTTACTATTAAAAAAAAATAAAAATAAGAACAACATCCGATACTACGTAAACAACTCTCTAACAATTCCACCACGTGCTCCTCTCACTCATTGCTTACATTCGAGAAATAGCAGATGTTATTGAAGCAGCTCAGATGAAATTACAAGAAGCTTCGCATTTTAACCTAATTATTCAAATGCGAACCACAAAATTTTCATTCCAGATGCGAACACAGTTTAGTTCTTGAACTCTAAACTTGCGAAATCAAAAATTCATATGTTGAACCCATATGCGAATATTAACCCAACTGACTTCAAATTGATTCACAGATGCAAACACTCGATTGTTTTACTTTCGCAAAATGAGCATCAACAACTCCACAATCGAGTTTTTAAATTCTTGCAAACAACAATTTCACAGTCCTTGACTTCGCGTTTTTCTTCACAAATCATCCCTCAATCATCAATCCAATTGCGAATCAAAACTCATATGTTCTTGCTTTATCGATTCATCGACTACACTCATACAAATGCGAACAATACTCAATTTCAAAATCGATTGAAACTACTGGTCCCAAAAAACTTACTATTAAAAAAAAATAAAAATAAGAACAACATCCGATACTACGTAAACAACTCTCTACTACCATTATATATACATTACTATAAAAAAACTCAACTTCAACCCCAATAGTGTAAATAACAAATATTTTAATCATATACACACCTACACAAATATAGGCTTCGATTCATCGACTACACTCATACAAATGCGAACAATACTCAATTTCAAAATCGATTGAAACTTATAGCAAAGCTAAATCCAACTTCGCATTCAAAGCAGTGTTATTGATTGCATTCATGAAATACTAACAAGATAATATATTATAATACAAATATACATATTTTAGGTGGTGAAATCGTAACAGCCTAACAATTTGGTATTTTCATTCCAGATGCGAACACAGTTTAGTTCTTGAACTCTAAACTTGCGAAATCAAAAATTCATATGTTGAACCCATATGCGAATATTAACCCAATTGACTTCAAATTGATTCACAGATGCAAACACTCGATTGTTTTACTTTCGCAAAATGAGCATCAACAACTCCACAATCGACTTTTTAAATTCTTGCAAACAACAATTTCACAGTCCTTGACTTCGCGTTTTTCTTCACGAATCATCCCTCAATCATCAATCCGATTGCGAATCAAAACTCATATGTTCTTGCTTTATCGATTCATCGACTACACTCATACAAATGCGAACAATACTCAATTTCAAAATCGATTGAAACTACTGGTCCCAAAAAACCTACTAGCAGATCTTATTGAAGCAGCTCAGACGAAATTACAAGAAGCTTCGCATTTTAACCTAATTAATCAAATGCGAACCACAAAATTTTCATTCCAGATGCGAACACAGTTTAGTTCTTGAACTCTAAACTTGCGAAATCAAAAATTCATATGTTGAACCCATATGCATTAACCCAATTGACTTCAAATTGATTCACAGATGCAAACACTCGATTGTTTTACTTTCGCAAAATGAGCATCAACAACTCCACAATCGAGTTTTTAAATTCTTGCAAACAACAATTTCACAGTCCTTGACTTAGCGTTTTTCTTCACGACATAACGTCAAACTATCCATTGACAATTTCCACATAAATATTTATCATCATTTAAATGCAACACAGCGCCAAAGGCACACACTTGATTCCTGCTAGTTTAGATAATGTCGTGAAACATTTATAAATTAAAATCATCTTTTTAATTTTATATTAGAATAAACAATATAAATCGTCAAAAAGAATTTGGAAAAAAAAAAAAAAAGTAAGAATATTAAAATATGCATAGCACGATGCCTACCACTATTTTGGGAGTTTGGTAATTTAATAAATGTTGAGACCCGTGCGAGGATGTGTTCCAAATCAAATCTTCTTTTCCTTCCTTTTTTATTTTTTATTTTTTATTTTAGACAAATGTTTTACAGATTTTCAATAAGATTTTGCTTAAAATAGTTTTATCTATAAAAGGTATGTTTTGTATCATTTCTTTTTTTATTTGTGAATTATTTGGTAAGCTATAAATTTACGACGTATTTTTTTATTATTAATCGGCATGTTTTTCTTAATTTATTGGATAATATATAAATATATAATTTAGACTTACTTATGCGTAATGCATTGGGGATACCTAGGCCAATTCAAATTTATACAGATGTAACTTTTATTTCACCATAGTATTCCAATTTTAAAGGTACTCGTTTGAGTTTTGACTATTAAAATCAACATTCATATTGATTATAAGAAAAACAAAAATCTTTAGTTGTTACTAAGAAAAGTCATTCATATTTGTGAAAGTGTTAGAAAAGACATCCATCTATATAATTTTAATAAAAATAAATTTCTGATCGGATGAAATCAATTATTGGGTTGTTACAAGCCTTCATGAACAAATTTTTTCGAGATGACATATATGTGACAAATATTTGTCTATTTCAAGTAAGAAAATGAAATTTTAGGAACCAAGGAACCTTGAGAATGAAATTTTACTCTATTTTAAGTAAGAAGATGGTAAATCTTGGACAAATATCAAGTAATGTATAAAGATTTTATGGGTGCCATAATTATCACGTAAAATTTCATCTTCTTACCAGAACTCCACAACTACAAAGTAAAATTTCATCTTTAAGGTTTCCTTTGTTTCCAAATCTTGTGGTTAAAAATGATAAAAAAGTTCATGGTACAAAAAATGCAACTGATTATGAACAAAATAATAATAAAAATAAAATAACTACTCAATAAACCAAATTTTGCTTTTATAACATACATTTGCAACAAAGATTTTACATTAATAAGATTGAACATGTCAAATCATTCACAATAATAAAGTTTATTCGTTAAACTTGTTCATGACACCTAAACACCAACTCCTCAATCCAAAACAACTAAAAAAATCTCCATAATAACATAATTTTCCACAATAGGATGAATTCCGTCAACTTAGTAATAAAGCCACTAATTTATATTTGTATTAATTTATTACTTTTTTGTATGAGTTGTTTGTGTAACAATTGGTTGATAATCTATCACTCCAATTTAATAATGCAAACTTAATTGAATAAGTTTTAATTGAAAAGACTACCATATTAGAGAGTAAAGACAAAAGTAATAGAAATAATAAATAAATAAGAAAATACATTTGTAAAAAATTATCTTTCGTTTAACTATGAATGAATAAATGCTGAAGGTAACGCCATAAACCACCAGACATCACATGAAGTTGTCATTTACGATAATTCTCAACAAAAAATGATCAGTAGAAAAATACAAATTCATATTTGGAGAAATACAGTTTTGCTTCTGACTAAAAATCACCCAAAAGATATAGAAAAATTACAAAAAAAACCACACACCTAGTTAACAAAAAAACAACCGGTGCCAGTGCTAAACTGCTAGTGCCACTCTCCTTCTATACAAAACACATCTACTTCCTCTCAGTGTTAGTCCAATTTCCACCACTTTTCCAGACCTAAAATTACTAAATCCAGAAAAAAAACATTTCTCTAAATCAAAAAAAAAAAAAAAGTTCATAGTTCTTGAGGCTGACATAGTTCCTTTCTCAGCTTTTGAGAGAAAAGCCTGCAGGCATCTATGCTCAGATCAATCGCCGCCGACAATGCCACAAACGCCGCTGCATCCTCCGTGCAATTCACATGCTGCACACTAACCTCCACCATCATTGCCTTCCCGCGCTTCCCTTCCCCCTCCACCGTCGCCGCCATCACAAACCCTTTGTAAGCACAGTACGGCCAAAGCCCATACCCGAAATCCCCACTCCCTCTCGGACTACACACCGGAGACGCCATGTTTGATTTCCGACCACTACCACCGTTGCCCGCCCCCGCACCTAAATCGATCATAAACCTCCCACCTTTGTTCAAGCTTAATGTGGATTCAGCCAATACGATGCCGGCGGCGGCGGAGTCGGGGATCAGTTCGAATCTGTACCCAAGTCCGTCGTGAGCACCACGTTCGCGCCAGGCTTCAAGGCGGCCCCATGGCTTCCATGTTCCGTCGCCGGGACGGAGGATGAGCCAACAACCGGGGTTGGAGCGGCTGACTCGGTCGGACCCAGGAGATGCGACGAATGGAGTTACCATTGATGCGGCGGCGACCGGTGACCCTGATAAATCGTGGACGGTGACTGACCATCCTTTTCTTTCTTTTCCTGGTCGTTCTCTGTCGCTTCCGAATGAACTCAGCCACTTCCGTGAACCACTGATGTCTGGTGGTAAAGATCTGTTGTACACAAATTGAAAATAGAGAATTGATTAAACCCAGACGTGAAGCAAAGAACATTGTGTCTTAATTAAATAATACTTTCGAATTTTGTAATCTGAAATCTGAATCATATCAGATGAAATAAAGTTAGGGATCCCGTCTCGGAGGGGGGAAATTGCAGAGATTCTTCTTCAATTTAAGGTTTATTCAACAGGAAAAGTATTATATTTATGTATTGCATTCAAATTAACAAAAAAAAAATTGAGCAACCTTAACAATGTCAGAGATACATTATCGATTTAATTTCTATAAGTACTGTGTAATTAGAATCAAAATCCGACAAAGTTAAAAGAAGTAATCATGAATGCTTGAACCAATCGAAAGCGTAAAGCCTTAATGTACGAAGAAAAGGTACCTGGATCGCTGATTACGGTCACCGGCGGTGGTTGAACGGAAGCTGAACTTGCAAGTGAACACAGGCTGCCGGATATTACCCTGAATTTGAAAAACCTGCGGACTACACACCGGCTCACCGTCGAATTGGAAAACGAATCGCGGATCCGGCTCCGCTTTGACATTCAAATGGAACTGCGCGCTTGAAGAGCTTTTATTCGCATCTTTGCCGACGGTGACCCAACCATTGTGAAATACACAAGCCTTGCTCTCCGTTCCGGCGAGATTCAACGGAACCGTCACTTTCGCTAACAGCTTACCGGAGCTCAAACCGCAACTACTCCCTCTCCGTCCAGTAAAAATCGATATTTTCAAGCTGAGTTTTCCGGCAAAAAGTGATTTAGCGACAAGCCTATCGAGATCAGACTTGCTCATATGAAAAGTAGCGGCTAGGGTTTGTACTTCAACATTCTGACTCTCCGGCGGCAAAAACGGAACCACGGCAGTGTAAACAGGAAAGTTCTTCAGCTTAATCTTACAAAAACACGGCGACGACGACGGGTGAATAACAGAGCGAGCAGCTTTCGACGCTACAGGTATCTTGAGAGCGAGATTGCCTACTGTAAGACGCACAAAAGGGCAAGGATCCATACTGTATTGTTGAAAATTGTTTTCGCCTTTCTCCGGCGATTCAACAGTAGTCGACGAAGAGGCGGCGGAATTTGGTGGAAAGATAGGGTTTAAGAAGCGGATGAAGAGAAGATTAAATCAACAACAGGCTGGATGTGGAGTAGGAAGAATGCATTGAGAAACGTGAAGGTGGTGATGGCCATGTTTGCAAAAGGAAAAAGCTCAGGCTTTTTATCCGGATGATCGATCTTCTTCGTGGTCGCAATCTTGTAACTGAAAATTATCAGTGTTTTTGTTCCTCTTTCAAAGGTTTAAATGTACGGAAAAATCGTGAGTGTGAGGGAGAAGATCAGAGGAAGGAACTTTTGCAACTTTGATCCTTGTATTATGTGTTAGTTGTCTACTTTTGCACTTAGTTTTCATTTCAACTTTATTATTAGCCCCTTACCTTTTTTATGTTTTTATTATTGGATTTCATATCAGAACACTTTCTTGTTTGTTACTGCATCTTTTCATTTTATGTTGTTTTTAAAAGTTCAATGAATCCTATTTGCAAAATAATAATTAAATTATGTATTCTTTATGTTTAATCATTGTAATCTATTAATAATATTGGTAGTTTCATTATGTAGTTTAGTTTTTTTTTGTTACTTACACATGTTTTTATTTAATTGTATGTTAAATCAAAATAAAACTACATTAACTTTTCTTGGGGTTTGGCTTTAATGGGTGTTTTATCCAAGATTATAGAACTCGTTATTAGGTATATGTTTAGCCGATTGGTGAGTGATGTGTACTCGGAGGATATTCGGATTCGGTAATTTATTTATAAATATTTTTAGAGAAATTAATATCAAAATCATAAGTTAATTCAAATATATAACAAAATTAGATACATATGAATACATAAAGACTAAAAACATACAATGGTCTCGTTTCATAAATAATTACTGAAAATTTAAAATATATATGTTATAATACTTATATTTGTGTGCAGGGGCGGAACACAAGTACAAAATCTTCGGGGCCGAAATCGAGACTTCCAGTGATGGAACAACACTATTATCTTTTCTTAATAAAGATGAATAATAGCAAACTTGAAAATAATCTTAACCATTGCCAAATCAAAATCAAAATATCATGACTAACTTCTAACAACAACAACAACAACAATAATAATAATAATAATAATAATAATAATAATAATAATAAACAATTAGGTTAAAGTTGATTATTATATCATATTTTATAATGTTTTTTTTTCAGTTTTTTTTTTTTATCACATTCATCGATAGAAAAAAAAACACAATATTAAACCCTATGAAACAATGAAAAGACATAGAGATCAAGCTAAGAGGTAAGAGGTAAGGTGGTAGAGAACATTATATATGAAGAAAACACAAAAGGAGCAGAGAGAACTGATAATACCATTGCATACGAACAAAACACAAAATTAGAAGCACATCATCTTTACTTGAAATTAGCGAGGAGGCAATACGAGAATAGGGAGAGAGCAATAGATACATCGCGAACTACAAAGGAACAAACGATGGTTGTTGAAGTAGGGAACTGTAGTTCAAGTGGAGGGTGGCGGTTGATCTAGCATCTAGCAATTCCAGTCATAGATATGAAGAGACAAGTAATGGGGAGGAGAGGAGATGAGAGCATTGGCGGCGATTCAATGTTTTTTTGTTCCCTGGGTGTAAATCTGGAACGAAGGTTTCGATTTTCCCAAAGATTTATAAAAATGAAAAAAAAAAAAAAAAAAAAAAAAAAAAAAAAAAAAAAAAAAACTTGGAAGTTCTTAGCAAATTGTTGATATCGTTTGGATATTTAAAATATTTTTAACTTTATTTTCTTTTGATTGAACGATTTTAAATATTTTAAAATCTTGATTGATTTTTTTGGTGTCCCGATTTCAACTGTATCATCGTATTTGTCTCTTCCTAATGAATTCTTGTTAAACCCAACCAAAACATAAATAACAAAAATACAATTAATTTGTGTTCTTCCTCGTCACACTTCAACCTTCACCTGCAACTTGCTTATTTATCCTTCTATCATCTTTATCCATATACATAAGTAGCCAAAAAAGTTAGGGGCATGGCCCCTCCTGGTCCCTTAGTAGCTACGTCACTGTTTGTGTGTGTTAAATAATAAATCTTAAGTATACTATACATATTAATCATCGAGTTGGCCGAATTTTACAACGTTTCAATAAGAGGTTGGGTAAGGAGTACTCGACTGACTAATCAACCAATTCGGTGAGTCTTACAATAGTGGTTTTCTCTATTTTTTGTTTTTTACTTGTACCATCCATTTGTTATTTTTATCACGGATTTCCTCTCTATCAAACTTGAAATTACCATATTACTATTTTCTGTATTATCCATTTTCTTTTCTTTTTTCCTATTTGTTTTTTTAGAATGTAAAAAAAAATGGACTCACAAAACTAATACATATCTTTATCCTCTTTCTTCTGAGTTATGAACCCTAAATCGTGAAACCCAAAATCTGCTAACCACCATAATCGGAGAGTCGCCTCCGACCGCTTGTCATCCTAATCATCGCATGAACCAATTTCAATCCTTCAGAACCAATCAAACCCATTTTATGAAGAAAATATGAGGAAGGTTAGGATTGAATTCATGTTTCAACAACTTGAACCCTTGAGATTAAAATGATGACATCATATGTGGTATTGGAAAACGTATATTTTGATGGATGTGTAGATTTTGACTTTTTTTTATACTATCTTTCCATATCTTGATGATCTCTTTCAAATCTACACATATCATCTTTATACCCTTGACAAGGAAACATAGAGAGCCATGGGATTAAATTTTCATTTAAAAGCTTGATTTCATATTTGATTTTCAGGTTTTAGGTTTAAGTTTTGATTTTAGGTTCAAGGTTTGATTTTGGTTTGATTTCACTTTGTTTGGTATTTGCGGTGAGTAATGGTGTTTGTCTGAGGTAAACGGTGACACTGATGGTGGTTAGTGGAGGTAAATGGCGGCGCAGGTGGTGGTTACCGAATATGAGCGACAATGTTATTAAAATTTGGCGGTTCTCGAATCATTAAATACAAAAAGGTGTAGACAGTGGTTACCATAACTAGAATGAACTTACAAATCACATTTATAACCTAATCAAGCCATTACTTTCATCTATAAAAGCTCGTAGATCAACTATTCACTATTATAGGGCTCATACGCTTCAAACAACTTATAAACTAGATTTCAAGAAACATTAAACGATGTTGTTGATAGTGACCAATTAGAATGAATAAATCTAAAGACTCAAACTAATATTAAAATCATCTTACGATTTCATATTTATAATAGAATCAAAACTCTAGATATTAAAATGGGAAAAGAACTAGATTGTTACGTAATTATGATCATATTGGTGATTTTATCACCAAGCATTGAAGAGAGCTTCAATCTCACATCAAACCATATCTATGCAACCAAAATCAACACATTCTCTATATAAACCACTCTCAAAGTCAATCTCCAATGATAGTGAAGAGATAAGATAAACTTAATATTTTAAACTTTGACTACTTGTCACATACAGTCCCTTCATTTATTATTTTCCTTATTTGACTACAAAGTGATACCAAATTATGACTAATCATTTATAAACCTAGTTTATTAACAAAGTAAGTAGTATAATAGGTTAAGTAACTTGAACATATGTTTTTTTTCCAATTTTTCTTAATTTAACCCGATTAATCCTAATTTCCTAAACTTTGTCTCGCTTTAAATAATTAATTTAGTGAATTCATTTGTAACATCTCGATGCCAAGTTAATTTTAATTTCAACCCTATGCTTGAATAATATTGTATTCTAACCCTTGGGTTTGAAAGGATTTCAAAATGGCCCAATATGGGAATTATGTCCTGGAGTGGTACGTTGAGTGTACGTTGTGTACGTTAGGCGTAATTAGGCGCACCCTAGTACGTTGGGTGTACACCTCGTACACAAGGCGTACGTAAAGAATGTGAAAACTCTAATTTTTAGGGTTTGGTCCATATTTAAACACCATTATAGCCTCATTTCTCATTCATTCATTAGTTTCCCTCTATGAAAAACAACCCCAAGAAAACCCTAAGTGAGAAGAGTGTATTTTGAGCCCATTGTAGTGTTTTGGTGGTGTTCTTGAAGAAGAAGAAGGTGGTGAGAAGAGCTTGGATCTTGGAACCATCTTGGATCTAAGATTATCTTCTTGTTAGCAACCTACAGGAGGTATAAAGTTCACAACTTGATCACTCCTTCTTGTAGATATAGTCATTTCTTCATTTAAGGAACTTTTGGTCCCAAATATGGTGATTCTTGAGCATGGCATGTTCTTGACCTAATAGGTCATCCTTTCAGACCTTATTAGGGGTCTTAAGTCATAAAAACGTGGTCTTGATGGTTAGTTTTGCTCCATGCATGCTATAGAAGGTCTTAAGGCATTAAAATGTGGAGATTTTGTGTATTAAGCACTTAATGGGCATGAAAACTCAAAAAGTTGGAAACTTTATAACTTGAGGGTATTTTGGCTTTGGATATGAATTTAGATGTAGATATTTGGAGTATTAAGCTCTTAATAGGGAAAGGGTTGAACTGGTACGTACACTGGGTGTACCAAGCAGTACGCTAGGCATACACAGTCAGCATCTTGTAATCTGGCCAAACACCGAGTATGCCTCGTTTACAGAAGAGTACCCCCAACATACTTGGTTGGGTTGACTTGGCCAAGTTGGCTCGACTGGGTTGACTCTGCTAGGTGAGAATGAGAGAGGGTGACGTGAAGAAGACCACGTTCCGGACTCGTTATGGGCATTACGAGTTCATGGTGATGCCATTTAGCTCACTAATGTGCCTGTAGTGTTTTATGAATTTGATGAATCAGGTTTGCAGGTTGATGCTCGATCGTTGCGTTATTATGTTTATTGATGATATCTTGGTATATTCCAACACCAGAGAGTAGCATGAGCAGCATCTTTGCGAGCTTCTAGGGGTCTTGAGGCGGGAACGGCTTTATGCCAAGTTCTCAAAGTGCGATTTTTTGTTATAAGAGGTCCAGTTCCTTGGGCACCTCGTTAACCAGGATGAGATTATGGTTGACTCGGCCAAGATTTTTGAGGTTCCGAAATCTCCCTGGATATCAGGAGTTTCTTGGGTTTTACAGGGTACTATCGAAGATTCATTCAAGATTTCTCCAAGATTCCGGTACCCCTCACTCATCTGACGAGGAAGGGGGTGGATTTCCGATAGGCCCTGAGCAGCAGTCGGCATTTGAGACTATTCGGAAGAGGTTGTGTGAGGCCCTGGTGTTGACCCTCCCGGAGGAGATTGGGGATTTTGTGGTCTTCTGTGATGCTTCCATCACTTGTTTGTGGGC